AAATGCTTACTCGGCAGTGAAGAAAATGAAAGAAGTTGGTTATGGCATAACCGTCTAGGGCACGTGAACTTCACTTCACTTAGACATATGTCAGAGACTAACATGGTTCGTGGGCTGCCGTGTATTCGAGCCCCCTTGAGTCCATGCGAAGGATGTTTAGTCGGGAAACAAACACGAACCTCACATCCAACAGAAGCCAACTTCAGAGCAACAAGAAGACTCGAGTTAGTACACGGGGACTTGTGTGGTCCAATCACACCAGTCACACCATCAGGAAAAAGGTATTTCTTACTTCTTGTAGACGACTTCACTCGTGTTATGTGGATTCATCTCATGAACACGAAAGATGAGACTTTGGGTGTGTTCAAGAGATTTCGGGCGCTTGTAGAAAATGAAACAGGTGACAAGATCAAGACTTTTAGAACAGACAGGGGTGGAGAGTTTGTGTCCAGAGACTTCAGTAACTATTGTGAAGAAACAGGTCTGAATCGACACTACACGGCACCCTACACCCCCCAACAAAATGGGGTCGTGGAGAGAAGGAATAGAACAGTAATAGAGATGGTGAGAACAATTCTGAAGTTCAAAAGGGTGCCAGAGACATTATGGGGAGAAGCAGCAAGACATGCAGTGTATGTGCTTAACCGGGTGTCAACAAAGGCGTTAGAAAACACAACCCCATACGAGTGTTGGACCGGAAGAAAACCAAATGTTGAACACCTGCGGGTGTTTGGCTGTATCGCTCATGCAAAAGTCATGAAAGGCCATCTCAAGAAACTTGAGGATAGGAGCAAGAAATATGTATATCTTGGAACGGAAATCGGAAGCAAAGCATACAGACTGCTTGATCCCAACACTGGAAAGATTTGTGTGAGTAAAGACGTATGCTTTGAGGAAGACAAAGGGTGGATATGGGAGAAATCAGAACGATTTAAAGAACATGTAGGTTGTCCATTGGTTGTGGAAGGATTCAACGAGGAGGATGGTGAACAAGTACAATATGATGCACCTTCAGAAACTTGGGGCTTTAGTGAAGGTGATACCCCAATGGACTTCTTCAATATAAGTCAACAAGCCCACTCCGAAAATGAACAGATTCCAACAGAACAGGCCCACAACTCTCCAATAAACATTCCTTCGTCCCCACCATCTAACCTTATTACACCCACAAGTTCAACAGGATCAAATACCACCACCTCAGAATCAACAGGTGGTGGTGCACCAAAGAGATACCGCCGGTTGTCGGATATCTACAGACAAGAAGATGAACTCCTGCTCACTTTGGATCACGAGGAACCAAGCTCTTTTGAAGTAGCAAAGAGTAGTGTCGAGTGGGTAAAAGCCATGAAGAGCGAATTGAGTGCCATTGAGAAGAACAAGACATGGGAATTGGTGACACTACCACAGGGTCGAAAACCCATTGGTCTCAAGTGGGTCTTTAAACTGAAACGAGACCCAAAAGGAAACATCTTGAAGCATAAAGCTAGGCTAGTAGCGAAGGGGTATGTTCAGAAACAAGGGATCGATTTTGAAGAAGTCTTCGCTCCAGTGGCTCGGCTTGAAACAGTGAGAGTACTTCTAACTCTCGCAGGCAAAAATGGATGGCGAGTCCATCATTTAGATGTGAAGTCAGCATTCTTACACGGGAAGCTGGAGGAGGAAGTGTATGTATCGCAGCCGGAGGGTTTCGTTAAGAAAAACTCGACAGGTATGGTGTACAAACTGTCCAAGGCACTGTATGGTCTTCGACAAGCCCCTCGGGCTTGGAATGCACGCCTTGATAAGTACCTGAAGCAGATTGGTTTCAGAAGATGTGTTCATGAGTATGCAGTGTACATAAGAAAGTCGAAAGAAAAACGTGTTAATAGTCGGGGTCTATGTTGATGACCTCATTGTCACTGGAGGAAATGAGGATGAAGTAAACACATTCAAGAAACAAATGAACCGGGAATTTGAAATGAGCGATTTGGGGCTGTTATCATACTACTTGGGTATCGAAGTGACTCAAGAAAAGAATGGAATCAGCTTAAAACAAACAGGGTATGCTAAGAGTTTGTTGAAAAAGATGGGCATGGAAGAATGCAATGGAGTAGAGGTACCCATGGAGCATAAGCTGGAATTGACAAAGGATGAAGATGGCGAACCCGTAAATGCTACTGAATATAGAAGTATTGTTGGTGATCTGAGATACTTATGCCACACTAGACCTGACATAGCATATTCAGTGGGAATTGTAAGTCGTTTCCTTGAAAGGCCTACTAAACTTCACTATCAAGCTGTGAAGAGAATTCTAAGATATATACAGGGAACTCTCAATCTTGGACTATTTTACCCTCAAAGCTCTAGAAAGAATGAAGTGATTGCATTCTCAGATAGCAATCACGCCCGAGACCTGGTTGACAGAAGAAGTACAAGTGGAATGGTGTTCTACTTGAATGAAAGTCCAGTGACATGGAGTTCCCAGAAACAGAGATGTGTTGCACTGTCATCGTGTGAAGCGGAGTTTATGGCAGCAACTATGGCAACATGTCAAGGAGTCTGGCTTCGTCGTTTGATCCAGGAGATAACAGGGGAAAAGCTAGGTCCAGTAACAATCCACATTGACAATAAGTCAGCTATTGAACTAGTAAAACATCCCGTATTCCATGGGAGAAGCAAGCACATAGACACCCGGTTTCACTTTATCAGAGAATGCATTGAAAGGGGGGATGTTGCTGTGAGGCATGTTGCAAGTCATGAACAGAGGGCTGATATCCTCACCAAACCGTTGGCAAGAATCATGTTCAAGGACATGAGAGAAAAGCTTGGAATGAAGACTCTGGATTAAGGGGGAATAACGAAAACAAATAAGGAACCGTTTGTCTTACTTATTCTCACAGATGAAAGGTATATATATATATATATATATATATATATATATATATATATATATATATATATATATATATATAATAACCATCAAACTACACTTATAAGTTCTAACATCACTGTTTAGCACCAAAAACAACCAAAATTTCAATAGTGGTAGTGACCTCGCAATAATCAATCTATGGAGAGAATGCATAAAAAATCCACATAAATTCAACTGTGCCGCCCTGGATCATGCGGCTACGCCAACCGTTGTTGCAGTAACAAACATAAAACCATCAAAATCTAATGGTATCCTCTTCTACATACTAGCATATATACATATATATATATATATATATATATATATATATATATAATATGACTATGACACTGTATCCTCTGATGCCCTTAATCACCAACTAACTTCCATACAGGAGCATTACGATATGGGTCATCACATGCTACACATATCTATGTGAATCCAGATATACCAGAGACAACGGCATTGATTAATTTGTAAGTGACATACATTACAGAACAATATTATCCTTCATATCATCGATATCATATACCAACAAGTATACGACCTCAGATTCACAAGACCCTCAAGGCCAGTGCCGGCACCATCTGGAACCCCCTCAACCTTACATGACATGAAACTAAAAACACGATCTGATCTGCTGGTAAGATGATATCACTAATACAACTTTTTACAAATACACACCATTTTGTACTCCCACAACCAGGTCACCTTTGCCTATAGGATAAAACATTCATGGTACAAGCTTCAATCAAGGACTTTCACTTCCAAAACACCTGGTACCAAGCAACATGTCCGATCTGCAAAGATCCGATTTTCATAAGAGGTTATGACTGGTACTGCAGTGCACATGGGCTGACTGAAAAACCAAACTACACGTAAGTATATACTCAATCAAACAAAAAACAACTCTTCACCAACTACACAATTTACAACTGCTCTATATCCATAGGTACAAATTGACAGTAACCATTACCGACACTACAGACACCATACCTCCAGTTGTATCCGAAACATCATGTCGAAAGTTGTTAAAGTCATCACTTGACAAATACATATCCGACGACCCCCACACAAACAGAAACAGACTGCCTGCAATCATCACCGATCACAAAAACAAACAAAAACAATGTTTATCCAAATGTTGAGGGCATCAGCACCTGACAACATCCGCTTCATAATAATTGACATCTATGACTCAACAACAACACCAACACCAGAGCCACCTGTTCCGACAACACCTGCCCTATCACGGATGACAAGAATGCGAAAAGATAACACATCAACTGAAGAAGATAGAACTCCTCAATCCATCGCACGTGCTCTCACCTTCAATCCACCATGTAATAACCCAATTTACCAATATCTAAGATAAATATATATATATATATATATATATATATATATATATATATATATATATATTTTCCACAACGAATGCTAACACCTTTCCAATTCACCTATCACAGGCCCACCACCAGCAAAAAATCAAAAACGGAGCAGCAAATAGTAAATACCACAAAGCTGCACTTTTAACCCCATGTTTTGTTTCGAATGATATCATTATCGTTTTGTAACAAATGTGATAAACAAGTATCCTATGTATAAACACTCCATCACAACATCCTGCTATCGGAAACTATAATTAGTCAACACTGTTTGCATGCTTGTCCTAGAAGAAAAAATTTATTTCCTTCCTCTATTAATTAATAACTCACTTATATACAACAACACAATTATTCCCGACCTAAAAACAACTTTGGACAAAAAGACAAATATACCCAGTAAGAAAAACAAATTGTTACAAAATATTATTCTATTTAAACCTGAACAAAAGAAATGAAGGAAGTGAATCGTAAATCCCAGCACCAGTAATTGTTGTTCACTTTCTATCCGTTACAGATACAAAACAGCCACTATCTATTTCAAATATATAATTTAAATAACTTAAGTTTACTAATTTCATTGTCTAATAGTATCAATTTTATATTTGTTCCACATCAATAATAAACAATTGAATACCACACACAAATCCAACAATCACATCTATCAATTAAAGGAAAAAAGGTCACAGCAGCCACCCTATATCCATTACTTCCCAGAATAGTAATCAATTGTCCCTAATTAATACCATCCAACAACCACAATACTCCATTATAAAATCCCACAGCAAACTCATCGGCTTCACCAACAAACACAACACACAAAATATGGAAGTCATTATGCAGAACCAGCTGGAAACAATGTAAGAGTCGTTAGCCTTGGTCCAAAACACATTCACCAGCATCAACCAGTTAAGACAGAAAATGATAAAAGAAGCTCCTGAGGAAATGTCGTACATACATGTTGTCATCACGGAATCGCTCATCAACGACCTCGACAAGAACACTGTGCTGATGTTGGACATTTTCCAAAGCATGCAGAACAACATGAGCGCGGCAACAGACATCTGCAACAAAATCATTGAAGACCACCACACACCATGAACAAGAAACTCTTTCTAAACTTTTTGTAATCGAATGTCATTCAGACTCTTTTGTAATCGACAACCTTTATCACTTAATGAATATTAGCTTTTCCTCCTTATAAGTTACTCTCTTTATCTACCCTATAAGCATATTAATCGCCTTCTACACTTATCAATGTTTGTAATGACTTTCTGATACCCTCTGCCTCCCGCGGAGCGGAGGTTAGGAATCTAGTTAAAATTATTTATATAAAACAAGGGCATAATTTGAAACATGTTTACAAATTAAAATCAAAATTTAATGAGTCAACTATCTTAATATGAAAAATATTATAATAAGGTGTCATTAAGATCATTCTTTTTATATCCAACAAAGTAGTGTTATTATGGTGCATGTCAATCATAAGTAATATTGCATAATTTTAGAAAAATACTTAATATATATATATATATATATATATATATATATATATATATATATATATATATATATTAACAGGTGACAAAAATGTAAAAATCGTCGTTGTAATATATATTTTTTTTAGAAAAACGTCCAAACTCTTAAGGTTGTGGATTGATGGTCCTTTTGAAAATCTTTCCTTGCTTATTTTATCTTTCAGAAAACTGAAAATACCAAATTATCCATATGATGTTTTTTTAATGATTTTTTTGTTTAATTTAAAATTTTATTAAATTCAAATCTCTCTCTCTCTCTCTCTCTCTCTCTCTCTCTATATATATATATATATATATATATATATATATATAGGTTCGCTAGGCGTGTCAAACCCAACGAATAAAGAGGTACGATATACTCCAAAATAATCCCACTATATTGCACTAAAAGGTAGTACAAGGCAAGCAGGGTCGATCCACAAAGACACAAGACAATTGGTCTATACCTATTTGCACAGGGTACTATGGTCACCAATAGTAAAGAGATGGGGGGTTTAGAATGTAATAATTAAACAAACAATTAAAAACATAAGCAATCAACTAAATGCGTGAATTAAATTCAGAATTTGTAAGGACTCCAACCCCATGTATGACAATTTAGCAATGTGACTCAAAAATGACACAATATTCGTTCAATTCTATCTAAGTTGGTACTTGAAAGTGCTAATAAGCTCTAACACTTCCCATTCACCATATTAATTAACCAAAACAAGCTCTTTGATTAATCCTGACCTTATTAATATAATCTAAATAAGCTCTTAGGATTAGATTATAAGATTGCATGAAGCTTTATGTGAATATTCCCAACAACACCCAATACTCCTCATAAGCTCGGGAGTGTAAAAGTGTATGAATAAGATTTACATTAAATTCATTCAATAGAGATCAATTTAATGCTTGTTACTTGTTCAATTTCACAAAACAAATACGGATTTTGTAAAAGAGATAACTTAAATGACCTAACCCTAATTCAAATGGCCAATAAGAATCATAATTAGAATCAAACATTCGATTGAAGCAAAATCAAATTCATTAGATAGAAATTAAGAACAAATATAATGCCATATGAATGAAATCACTACCAAGAAGTCAAAACATGAAATTGGAGAAATTAGGGTTCTAGCCACACATGGCTAGAACAAGATCACAAGTCTAAAAGATGAAATTAAGTGTAATTACAACTTACAAAAACAAGAATTAATATTTCCAAATGATTAACGGACAAACCCTTGCAAAAAGCTTCGAATTCTTCTCTCCAATGGTGCTCTAATATGTTCTCCCCTCCTCAAAATGACCTTTAACCCGTAATATGAAAGATAGGAAAAACTGTCAAAAGTTGGTTTCTGGGTTGAACACGGCCCGTGTTCGAATAGGCTAGAATGACACGGGTCGTGTTCAGCAACACGCCCCGTGTTGATTTGCATTAAACTGACACGGGTCGTGTTCAGCATGGTCAACAACTCCTATTTTGGTCAAACACACCCCGTGCTCACTTTTCAGTGTAAAGTCAACACGCCCCGTGTACCTCTCTGACTCCAATTCCAAACTTGATTTTTCCAACTTTTTCGTTCTTCGCCCGATCGTCCCGAAATCTTTACCAATGCTTCCCGACACTTCCCAAAGCGCGTTCCAACCTCCGGTTTACCTGAAAAAGATATAAAAGTGTGCAAATAAGGTTGTTCTAGAGACTAAAATGAATATGATAAAATGCAAGGAAAAGGAAGAACAATTGTGCTAAATATATGCATAAAATGGGACTAAAAGGTGCGCAAATAGCACCTAACAAGGTTCAGGTTCATTTGAGACCATTCTAATTTTGTGAAACCGTGAGACCAAATCTAAAAATAATTTTAAAATGCAAAATAAATTGAAAAATCCAAAAATTCTTTTTTTAAATATTATTTTCGAAACTTGAATTAACTAAAAAAAATAATAAATAAATAATTTAAAAAATTAAAAAAAAATCCCGTTTTTTTTTTAAATACGTGAAATATTATAAATAGAATATTACACTGACATATTCTAACAAATAATTTTAAAATGCAAAATAAATGGAAAAATCTATAAAAAAAATTTAAATATTATTTTCGGAACTTGAATTAACTAAAAAAATAAAAATAAATAAAATAAATAAAAAGAAATTCTATTTTTTTTTTAAAATACGTGAAATATTCTAAATACAATATTACACTATACATATTCTAAAAATAACTTTAAAATGCAAAATAAATGGAAACATCAAAAAAAAAATTTAAATATTATTTTCGGAACTTGAATTAACTAAAAAAAATAAAATAAAAATAAAAAAATGCGTCTCACACGGTCTTAAAAAATTAGGCCGTCTCACATGAACCAAAACTATATATATATATATATATATATATATATATATATATATATATATATATATATATATATATATATATATATATATATATATATATATATATATATATATATATATATATATATAGGATTCTCTAATATATTTTCGACAATTTGGTAACTCAACTCAACTTATATTTGGTAACCTTGTCATGAGGTAAAATTCAATTTTTAACTATGCTTAAACATATTATGGCGCACTTGACCTATAATTTTGACTAACATCTACAACTTAAAACATTACTTCATATTAACAAAATAATTTATATCTAAACTTATAAACATACCTTTAGAATAATTTTGACTAACATTTACAACTTAAAAAATTACTTTAATCTTTAAAGTTAAATGCAAGGATGAAAGAGAGAAGCAAATTATTTAGTTTTGATAACAAAAACAACACCACAAAAATCCACCACTTGAACTGAATTTTGGACTTATGTTTTATTCTTCAAAGAAACCCATGATGTTACAGTGAAGTTTATGAAATTCTATTTCTTTTTATGGACCTCGATGAATGATCATGCTCAGTTTAAAAATTAGTTTTATATATAGGTGTACAAATTCTGTAGTTTTCAGTTTATCAAGTATACAAAGCTCAAATATATTCACACTTAGTTCTATATATAGGTCAAATAAATAAATAAATAATTCCAAAGTCTATATAAAAGATTTGTAATGCAGCTACAATTAAGGAATTTTACCTTGTGGATATGTTAAATCACATCCATTTTGCTTCCGAGACCACCGATTCCAATAATCAAGGCAAGATAAGAAATGTCCATGGGATCTCATCTTGTTACATGTAATGAAAAGTAGGATTCCACAGAGATATGGATCCGATCCCAATTTCATATCATTAACAAACTACAACACCATAAAACATATACACAGATTAATTAAAGCGCGATATATGGATTCGATGTTCATTACGTTCCCTCAAATTAATTAGGATTTTTGGAATTGGAACAAAATAAGAAAGAAGATCCGGAATACCCTAGAAATTAAGAAACCATGCCTCGACTCTTCACTTCAGATCTTCTTTCATTCGCACGATGGATAGAGAGAATGGTGGTGTTGCAGAAAGAAGAAACTTGTGTTTCTAAACATTTTTTTAAACTGAAGAAACTATGCACTTTGAATTATTATTTTTTTTTTCAAAAATGTATATCATCGTAGGATTTAAAATGATGAGAATCATGGGTTTCTTATAAGAGTTGCAATCTATCTTGGATAAAGACAATTATTGGGTTGCTTGTATCAGTACCAAAATATGCAATGTAAATTAAAAGCTGCAACAAGATATGGATATCTTGCCATGGTGAGAAGATTGCAGAAGAAAAGGCTTATTTTCTTGGCTGCTACCAAAAACACAGAGAGAAAATAAAGAAAGGAAACAGCAAAATAGGTGAAAGAAAGGGCAAAAATGTCCTTTGCTCTCCTTTGAACCGAGATTTCACTGCAAGAAGTAGATTTTTATTCTCTTTAGTAGAGTAGGCTTGTTGCTATTTCATGATAAACAGTGAGCAAGTATTCTCCTTGTTTGGTATGTTTCACAACTATACCACTTTGTTTTTTTATTTTATTTTTATCTTTTCATATTTTTGAAATAGCACAATATCTCTTTGAAGTTTCCCAAATCATACATTTGACACGTTTAAACATCTTAACTTACCTTTAAGTATTCTGTTTGACATTTAACACAACTTAAAATAAACCTTATTAATTGGGTCAAACATTTCAATCCAACAAAACATATTTGATTAAATGGATTAAAATTTCAAACCAACATAATAACATTCCGGATAAATGGGTTGCTATTGGGTTAACTTATTTTTTTCTCCAACCCAATTTATTAAATAAATAGGTTAAACCCATGTTATCATTTTTCAATCACTTTTTCGACAACTTTCATTGCTAATCAAGGACTCTGGGATGGTTATTGACAAGGTGAGAAAGTCATAGATCATTTTCGACAAAACAAGATCAAAGACAGGACCCACAAGGCAAAACCCTCATACATTAAATACAACCTTTTTAGGTAGACATAGATTAGCTAGTTGGGTTTCTGAGCCCATATTTGTTTGTATATGGGTCTGCTGTTGCTGTTGATAAATCTCAATCGTCCAAATATTTGGTGT